TTAGTAGCTGAAAAGATTAGGAGCCTACAGATAAGGTGTATGAATCATTTAATGGTGTAATGCCATGTGGGGAAAACCGTGCGGGCTTGGCCCAAAGCGGACTATATCATACAATTTTAAGAATATCTTTGGGCCATTTTAGTCCAAGACAAACTATATGTCGCACAACTAAACAAGATAGCATTTTCTAGTAATATTATTTACCTTAAAATCTGAGTAACAATTAAATTTGTATTGAGGTCTTAAAGATATGTAATTTAGTCCAATACCAACTGATAATCAAGGAATAAACATATAAATTAAAGAAATAAGTTGAATCAAACCAATGTGTAAGCCAATCTCGACCTCGAGCTAAGGTGGCCTCGAGATAGGTCAGTAAGAACAATAAAGCTAAAAGACAATTCTGATGAGTGATAAGCAAGAAAGTGAAAAATGTATATTCCTTTTCCAATGATTGATGATGTTACAACTGAATGGGCTCCCCTTTATATAATAGGGGAGTCCTTAACAAGGTACATTTCTATTTTTAGTAGGGAATCTTATTGGGACAACTGTCTAACCGCCTAGTACAAATTCGTTCTGGAATTTACGCCTTAATCTTAGGGCTGTTGCGGGAATCTTGCCTTTTATGTTACAAAATCACAATGGTATTATCTCGAGGCTGGTTATATTCGGCCTCGATGTTCATCAAGCACTTCGATCTTCAAGCCTCGAACTCCGCCATCGGGCTCGAGCCCAGTCTATTTCGGACTTATTCTTGAAGCGATTCCTCGAGCCTACCTAATCGGACATACCTGATTTTGACCGTATATAGATAGTCCCCACGTTTCTTAGAATAAGATGATAAGAAACAATTTGAGCTTCGATTTTATGGATCCCCTAATGATGACATCATCCTCGTGATGTAAGCGCTCGGGGTGATCGAAACGTCCCGTCGGTTTGCTTCCCCAAAACATTAAATGCGTGCGAGTAATGGTCGGCCACTAGCGTCGTCGAACCGTCGTCGCGTACCTATAAATACATGGCTTCTTATTTGAATTAAGGACTTTACTTCCATCTTGCAATTTCTCTGATCTCTCCTTCTCTTCATCTCTCTCCTTTGTTACTTGCTGCTCCGCCCCTTTAGTGTAAAAAAAATATCAAACTCCATCTCTTTCCGCTTCCTTTAACCTGAATCAATGGCAAAAACTTCCAAAACCATTCTTTAAAAGGAAAAAACTTCCGTCTCTTTTTCCCGTCGGGCTGGTGACAAAGTGACATCCCTTCACGAGATCGTTCCTGGCACCTGCGTCGTAAATAAAGACTTCAAAGTTGAAAACCCCCCGTGATTCCTGGCCGATGTGAGCATGCATCGAGGCATATCTGTTCAATAACGAAGAAGCAACTCAAGGGCATGAAAAAGGATTGTGGTTGGGGGGATGAGGTTGTGGTAAAGATCCCCACCACCGAGAAGAGTATCACCACTCACGTGGAGGGGTTCCTAAGTGTTTACACTTACCCCTTCACACTGGGTCCCTTCGATCTAATCATGATCGACTTCTGCATAAGATATCGAGTCTCCCTCGGCTAGATCCACCCCTCTTTCTGGCGCATAGGCTTCGCCCTCAGTCATCTTATCCGATTGTACCGGCCTCAACTTTTTTGAGGGTTGATCAAGCTCCAACACCAGTCGAACAAGTCCTTCTTTGCTAGCAACGACAAGGATAAAAATCGGGACTAGATGAGCCGGTTCATTCGAGTGAGGACCCGCGATATCATCCCTGAGGAGAAAATGTCGTTCCCAGAAGAGTGGATCCCCGACCGTAAGTGAAGTTGTTTCCCCAGTAATTTTCTGTATTTTGTTTTTGCATTGCATGATGCCTTCAACTTTTTTTGCAGCAGTCACTTGGATGCCTCATGCGGTCCTCGACCTCAAAGACTGGGTCCTAAAACTAGTTGCGACCTCCTCGTATAATGAACGTCGTTGGCGTGATTTGGCAAGGGGCAGATGGGAATCCAAACTCCACAGTAAGTTCTTCTTGTAAGTTTGTGATGCTTTCCTCTTTATCGGAGACATTTCTTTTCTCATACCTAATTTTTATTTATGCAGGCATTGGAGATTTCTTCGAAATGAGGCTGGCCCCTCCTGGGAAAGAGATCGAGTCCCCGATTCCAAAACCTAGGAAAGATAATAAGAGGAAAAGGGTTTCGAAGCCCGAAGACCCCCAAGATAAAAGGGCTCCTACTCGGAGATATAGGAGGAATGACATTCACGTGGACATAGACTCAGTCCACCAGTTTCACGATGAGGAAGAAGACGAGGGCTCGGGCTCGGCGTTGGTGGCCCGAGCCAGGAAGCCGGTCGAAGCTGCCAAGTCTTCCGAACCGGAGGCCTTGCCTCGTGGTGAGGAGGCTCTGAAGAAAGATACAGGTAAAGCCCTAGAATTGCCCGAGGTTGAGATTGTTCCCCGGCCATCAACAAGCACACCTGAGGGGGCAGGTTCAAAAATCCCTAGCGCTAAAGAAAATGCCCGAGCGATTTGCTCGGGGCCATGACATTAGGTCATTCTCCCTCTCTGCCGTCTTACTCCGAGGAGGCTGTAAGAGAGGCTCGGGACTTGCAGATGCCCGACGTAGGCGGAGTCTCCAGTGAAGAAGATCTTTTACGGGATTGCTTTATCGGGGTCGATGATGCCGTTGAACTCAACGACGCATCTACCTTCTTCGAAAAGGCTCAACGTCTTTTCACTCGAGTAAGCATCAACTCCTACTTGTTGCAACTTTCTTTTTCTTCTTCTTCTCCTCCTCACCCATATCCTTTTTTCTATGTAGGTTGTTGCTAGCTTAAGTTACAGACTTTGCCTTTGCTCAACACTGATTTTGAATCTCCTTAGATTATGATACATTGAGTTGACTTGTTTGAAGAGTTGCTTGGAAGGTATTAAGGAATCAACAAGTTTAAGGTATGTTAAGGTACTTCCTTCATTCTTTCGGCATGATCTAAAGTGAAATGAACATAAACAATACGCTATTTCATAACGGTTCTACTCCTAGCAACTAAGGCTACCTATATTGTTCTTTCATATTGATGGTATGGATATCCATAATGTTAGTTAAAGGTACAACGACCTTATGTCACTCCGAAAGGTTTAGAACGTGATTCCATGAGTCCAACATGCATTATATCTATATATCTATTTTACTCTACTAAGTCGTGCTATAGTTGGCCGGGTACGACACCTATTGTGCGACCACTGATCAGGTGGGTTTACCGATCTCCACGTGGCCGGGTACGATTCTACCAAGCCTTGTGATGGCCGGGTACGCTTTTACCGAGTCCTCTTTGAGGCCGGGTATGATAAGATGATGATGATGCCCACAAAGGCGTATGTTTTTAAAAGTTTATGTATATATATGTATTATGCATTTCATGTCAGTAGCCCCCTAGAGGCACTCTAATGTTACAGGTTGTATCTCCTCTATCTCTCTTTACATTACTGCTCTTGTTTACGCTTTTCTGCCTTACATACTCGGTGCTTTATTCGTACTGACGTCCTTTTTGCCTAGGGATGCTGCGTTTAATGCCCGCAGGTCCCGATATACAGGTTGACATTCCTTCCTAGTAGGCTATTAGCTCAGCGGAAGGTGTTGGTGCACTCCACTTGCTCCGGAGTTGCCTATTTGGTCAGTATGAACATATTGATTGGTATGGCGGGGCCCTGTCCTCACCTTTATGATGTGTATGTACTCTTAGAGGCTTGTAGACTAGGGGTGGACGTCGGTCGGTTCGGTCGGTTATTATGAAAGTACGGTTCGGTTTATCGGTTTTCGGTTTTTTAATATTAATAACCAAATCAAACCAAAATATTTACGGTTCGGTGCGATTTTTTCAAAGTTCGGTTCGGTTATTTTCGGTGTATTTTTTCGGTTTTAAACGGTTCAAGGAAATTGCACATAACAGAAACGAAACTAGTGTAACTGATAACGATTCATTTATCTAGAAAATTAAATTTATCTACCATTTGTCTTTTGGGTGCAGTTACTCATCACGTATGTAGGAATTCAGCTCGGAGCTACATAATTTTTATTGCAAGAATTGTTTCTGCAATATCTGCCAACTTGGTTCTTATTAGTATTTTTGCTTTTGTATTCAAAAGAAAGCACTTGAGAAGACAAGGTGTGTCAAGTACTTCTTAATTGTAAATTCGCACCAGTAACGATTTCAAATTTATTATGGATTAAACTAATTTGCTTTACTGATTGTTGTTTGCAATTAGGCTGGACGCATGGAACTTCTGCTCTCATTAAGTCTGTCTAGCTTGTATTCCGTGGGAAAAAGCGAAATGAAGCATTTAGTGCAATGGCTGGAAATATTGTTGGACCAATGAAACCAAGAATAGAGATTAGAGAACAAGCAAAAGAATTAACACAGCAGCACAGTTAATCAAAATTTCGGTTTTTCGGTTTAACCGAAATACAAAAACCGTACACCGCACCGAAAAGCCGAAAATTAATAATTTTAAAACCGTGCACCGACCGAAAAACCGATTAAACCGAAACCGAAAAACCGAAATTAACGATTCGGCCGGTTTTTCGGTTCGGTCTGTATTATGCCCATGGACTTATCGGCCTATGTTCAGTGTACGAGTGTTCATTTTGGTCTTATAGGACCGTATGTCACATGTATAAGTTTGTATTACATGTTGGGTCGTCCTATGTCAAGCATTCCCTTATGTTTTATTCTGGTTATATCATGACGGCCCTTCCGGCCCATTTACCCATGATGATATGATAAGAAAGATATGCTACGTTGGTACTCGATTGGGTAAGGCATCGGGTGCCCGTTGCGGCCCTCCAATTTGGGTCGTGACAAAATGACTTAGCTACAAAATAACAAACTATCTAAAATATAGGCATTCACTCTACGTACAATTCTATTCATAACATTTTCACTTTTTTAATTGGAGTATCTTTTTATACAAAAGTTTAATGACACTCCCTTTTCCCCCACAGGTTTCTGTTTGTGACACTTAAAACCTTCTTATCTATCAACATTCAGCCATTCTAAGGTTTTTGCACTTTCTCTCTAAATCACCGAACCCACTAGAACAGCATTACAACAATGGAGAAAAGGGAGGAGGCGAAAGAGGTGGTGGAAGAGGAGGAGCAAGTAGTGAACCCATGGGAAGTATCAGCAAAAGACGGCGGCAAGATTGACTACGACAAATTAATCGATAAATTCGGTTGCCAGAGGCTCGACGAATCCTTAATCCAGCGTGTTCAACGCCTCACGAATCGGCCGGCTCACGTTTTCCTCCGCCGCGGAGTTTTCTTCGCTCATCGTGATTTCAACGATATATTGGACGCTTATGAAAAAGGGCAAAAGTTCTATCTATATACTGGCAGAGGACCTTCCTCTGAAGCCTTGCATTTGGGTCACCTTATCCCCTTCATGTTCACAAAGTAATTAAATTAATTGGGAGGACTTGATTGCAAATTTTTTTAAAAGAAATTTTTTTTTTGGTGTGAATTTATTTTGTTTTTGTTGTGTTTAGATATTTGCAGGATGCATTTAAAGTGCCGCTAGTAATACAATTGACAGATGATGAGAAATGTATGTGGAAGAATTTGTCCGTGGAAGAAAGCCAAAGACTTGCTCGTGAGAATGCTAAAGATATTATAGCGTGTGGATTTGATGTTTCCAAGACTTTCATTTTCTCTGATTTCGATTATGTTGGCGGGTAAGTGAGTAACTTTGTTTTTTCCCTGATTGTGTTTGGTATGAGAATCCTTTTTTGATATTTTTCAGTGTTTAGTAGGTAAGCAAGTATACATACGGTAATCATACTAGGAGCTGTATACAGTATAAAGATTCTGTTTTGGTGATATTTTGAGTTAAACAGTTGATAATAATATCTAACAGATGATTGAAGCAACTGATACAGCATGACATGAGAGTTGGGATTTTTTTTATGGGAAGTGTCCTCAATGTAACAATATCTTTTCTTTAGGGGGGCGGGAGAGGAGGTGAATATGTTATTTGGTTTTCATGTTTCTATTTGTTTCTATGGAAGTGATTAGACTGAAAGTTGCCTTTTAGAATGAAAATTTTAGCTTTACATGTTATGTCATAACTAGAATTTAATTTTGAGCAGAGGGTCTATCGAAAACAACCTCTCTACCTTCATAAGGCAGAGGTAAGGCGTGCGTACACATTACCCTCCCCAGACCCCACTTGTGAGATTCCACTGGGTTGTTGTTGTTGTCATAAGTAGAATTTAAGTGGTCGTAGTCGTACAAGGATGCAATCAACTTGTGTTTTCTTTCTGCTCTGTGTGTACAGCTCCAGGAGTTGTATTTACATAGTTTTATGGTCCGTTTCTAACAAGAACTTTTTGCATAGTGCCTTTTACAAGAACATGGTGAAGGTTGCAAAATGTGTCACATACAATAAGGTGATTTCTGCTTACTTTACATCCACAGGAGCATCTTATGTTAAGAGGCTTTTGACCTATTACGCTATGCGGTTTGTTTTTCAGGTGGTTGGCATTTTTGGTTTCACAGGTGAAGATCACATTGGGAAAGTTAGTTTTCCACCAGTTCAGGTAGCCTCCTCCTCAATGTGATAGCCATAGTCTTTCTATTAACTTACTCTAACACTTTTTTAGATTTTGTTGTAATACCAAAGTTAGTGAAGTATATGTGCCTTATGTTTCGTATCTCCCCCCCCCCCCCCCCCCCCCAACCCCCAAAACACACACACACACCAAAAAAGAAAAAGCTGAATAGTAGCTTGCTTTTAATTTTATATGGACTCGTCCTCTGCTAAAAATTGAGGAATTTGAATTGGGTTTAGAATGATAGAGAAACTTAGACAGGTGAATAATAAAATTGCAGGCTGTTCCATCCTTCCCAAGTTCATTTCCTCATCTGTTTTCTGGCAATGATAACATTCGCTGCTTGATTCCATGTGCCATAGACCAGGTTTGTTCTTGCTCCTATATTTCTTTGTCGGGTTTCTTCAATTTTTTTGACATGTGATTCCTTATAATTTCTAATTATATTTGAATGATTAAGCAATTTGTTTTGCAATTATTATAATGGAGCAATATGTTTTGTTGTCAACAAAATAGTTTTGGTTATATATTAGTCGGATGGGTGTCTTTTGTCTGAGAGTGATGGTTATTTCCCAATCATTAGAAGCAATCTTGATTGGCATCAAGGATCTCCTCATAACATCCTAATTATAACATCCACTATGATAGAAACCATTGAGCTCATGTAAAGAGCTCTTCTTTGATTTATATGTTTTATTGAGAGGCTTTTATTGATTGTACACATTCTGCACTACTGTTAAGTTGGCAACATCTTTATGAATATCTTTTTTTTTTTTTATGAAGTAAGAAAATTTCATTAAATGGCATCAAGAAGATGCATAGCAAAAAATATACAACAAAAGTGTGGCTGCTCATATACAAAAACTTACTGCATAACTACAGACACAATCCAAAAATATTCAAAACTAGTTACAGGGGCCTGTATAGCTACAGACACAATCCAAAAAATTCAAAACTAGTTACAGGGGCCTGGTTGAACCAACTACATAAATAAATTAATTAGACAAGTTGCTTTAAGAGAGTGATTAGGAGTTGAAATCCCATGAAAACATCTATGATTTCTCTCATTGCAGATTCACCAAAAAATATAAGCAGGCACCATTTGCTAAGTTTTCTTGATGGATTTCCCAACTCTCCATGAGCACCAGCTCTCATAAACATCCTTGATACTGTAAAGCATGACCCAATCAAGTCCAGAAACTGATAAAAACATGTTCCATATGTCAGCTGCTACTGTGCAATGAGAAACAAATGTCTCACTCTCAAATTCCTCCTGGCACATAAAACATAAAACATCTGTTCACTGTCGGAATGCTTTTTCTACTGAGGTTGTCTTGAGTAAGGCAGGCTTCATATAGGCTTGTCCAGATAAAACCAATTACTTTTATAGGGAGTTTGGTTCTCCATATAAGCTGCCATGTCCATTTGTCAATCAGCTCTTTATTGGAGCATAGATTGTTATATCCTCTTTTGACAATATAGGTTCTATCTTTGGAAGCCCCCCATTCCAGCTTGTCCTTCACCTGAGGGTTGACGTTAATATTTGATAATTTTGAAAGCAATCTCAGCAGGTCATTTAGTTCCCAGTCTTGGATATCTCTTCTGAACTGCAGTGCCCATGCGTTATCTTGCCAATAGTGGATTCCTTGTTGCTGGCTGGTAAAAATAGACTTGGGTGTTCGTCTTTCAGAATCTCTGTCCCTAACCATCTGTCTTTTCAGAAAGAAATATGAGAATTCCCAAGCTTGAATGATGGCTTGAGTTGGAAGTCACCCCATAACTTTGAAATGTGTTTCCATGGCTTAGAACCATGTGGCAGTCTGCTCTGTCTAGTACACCAGTTATTTGCCACCCCATATTTTGCTTGTATTACAACTTTTCACAGCCCGGGGTTGTCCATGTTGTACCTCTGGTGCCATTTCATTAACAAACTCTTGTTGTGTAAAGTGAGATCTTTTATTCCTAGCCCTCCATGCACTTTGAGGAGGCCATTTAACCAGATGGAATTTGTGAGTTTAACTAAATCCTTCTCATAGAAGATCTCTTCTTAATTGATCAAGTCTCCTCTGAACCTTTGCTGGGGTTGGAAACAGGGACAAGAAGTAGGTAGGAATGCTATCCAACACATTGTTGATGAGTGTAATTCTACCACCCAAAGAGAGATACTGCATTTTCCAGGAAGCCATTTTTTTCAAAATTTTCAATTACTTCATTACAAATACCTAGAGCTTTTGTCTAGCTCCCAGTGGAAGACCAAGATATGTTTTAGGGAAAGAGCCCACCTTACAACACATTACTTCCGCAAGCTCTTCCAAGTTTGGAACTGAATTGACTGGATAGATGATGCTCTTCAACATGTTCTACTAAAGATATTTGACTTGTCAAAGGAAAATGCCGGATGGGCCATGTCATATTCCTGTTCAAATGATGGTATAATATTTCTAGGATTCAAGTTATTGTCTCGTTATATTTTTCTAGAAGTTGGCAGACAAAGAACTGTTGTAAATATGAGATCATATAAAATGAATATTGATCAAATACAGAGTAACTTTTCTTTTTTGTCTATGTGACGGTAAAACAAAATGAAAACCAGAGAGATGGTTTAATGCTTTTTCTAAATACAAGTACGATCTTTGGTTGATCTCTGCTCAAGAATTGTGAACTATGTTGCTTTTCTCCCTGATTCTGAAAAGGATTAATTTTTTTAGTATGAATGTTGATATACTTCTTAACCTTGCAGTTACGCTCAAATACTCTTTAACAATTGTAAATTGGCTAGTTCATGGGCTGTGCTTATTGATACATCATTTAGCAAGTTCAAGCTTTGATGTGGATCTGCTTAATTAAGTAGGTCACATGAGCCGGAAATCTCCTAGTTTGCTTGAAATTAAAGTGGTTAGATGATAGATAGACAATATCATGTTACTTAAAAAAAAGATGGAATCATGCTGAGGTTTTGCTGCTTCATGTCTTTCTTTTTTCTCTCTGCAATGTCTGCCATGATCTTCATTATTGATAGATTCCTCCCCCCCCCTACCCCCCCTAATGAAAAACTAACATAGGTAAATGATTTTTCAGGATCCTTATTTCCGAATGACTCGAGATGTCGCTCCCCGGATAGGTTATCACAAGCCTGCTTTGATTGAATCATCTTTCTTTCCTGCCCTTCAGGTTTTTTTCCTTCCTTATAGACCAGTGACTGAACAATATTAGTTCTGTTACAAATACAATGAAGTTTCACTATGATGATGCTTCTGTGACTTCGCCTTTTACAGTTAATTAGTAATTTGTTCTATGACATTTATTTATCCGTCATCAACTTCTTGTTGCTACAAGGTTTTAACTTTTCTTGCTGCAAGCTGGCCTGGACACTACTACAGTTAAAAAAAGATATTACGTCATCAATAATCAAACATTTAGATAGAATCATTATCGCGTACCCGTCGTTCTCCCGTACCCATCATTCTGGAATCTAAAGCACCTGCCAGTGCCCTGTGGTATGATCCTTTTGAGGTGCGACAGTCTTTAGACTCTAATTTCTTACAAATGAAAGCAATGTTCTGCTTTGGTGCTTCATTCTGGTTATATATGAGTATTTCAGCATCTAAGTTGGAACTGTTAACTTCTCACCTTTCTGATTGACAAAAAATTGCAGTTCACTGCTTGTGCTTCGTCATAGCTTAGAGACCAATAAATGTAGCATATTTTGGTCATAGACCTGTACAACATAAATCTAGTTTGTTCGTTTACTTATTTAATTTTTGTATAGACCGAGTAATGCAGCATTCCTGAAAGCTTTATTCTCTCCCTGGAATTCTGCTTGTGCCTAGCATCTGGATTGTGATTCTTCATGCTAGAGAAGTATTTCTCGACTAGGAAAACGAGTTGCCTCCTGCATAGAATTGATATGAAAAGAAGTTAAAAACACTTAAGCTTACTATAACACATCAACTTCTCAATCGATATTAACATTTTTTTTGTTTGTTGATGAAGTAAGTAGATTCATTGCTGGCATCAAGAAGATGCAAATTGTACAAAAGAGGTGTTGTTAGCTTCATTACATTTGTCTGTGCTATAGCAGGAAGCTAACAAGTTACAAAATAAGAGACCAAGCTAATCTATTCAGAATGTTAGCTCTGGATTACAAAAAACTGTTTAATGAAAATTCCATAAAGCCTCTGGAAGACAGTCCCCAAAGAAACTCAAGAAAGAATTTCCTTGTTAGATGTTCAATTCAGTCAAGCAAAGCCCCACATCTTCAATAACTTTTTCACAAAGGATTCGTCCTAGTTGGAACACTGTTTGCTAGAACCATTGTTGTCCATATTACAAATAGTCTCCATATAAATGTTGTCTTCTACTAACAGATGGAAATGTGTGTTGACTAATAAATCATCTTTCATATTTCCAAAATGTCAAATAAAATCTGTATTTTCTTTTCATTTTTCCCTTTCTTTTTACCACTTTCACGCACTTCTCAGTGGAATTTGGTTCTTAATTAGTGCAATTGCAGATAATTCTTGAGTTCCAACTTAATTGAAATGGATTACTAACTATATAATGGTTATTTCATTTCATCTTTGTTCTTTTTCTGATGTGGCCACCTCCATGCTTGTAATCTGTCTGATTCCAAATAAGTAGAAATACAACTGTTTCTCATCCTTGTTACTTGTCAAATTAGTTTGTTGTTTCAGCTTCTGATTTTTAATGTGTCTGCTTGTAAAAATTCTTCTGCATTGCCTTTCTGTTAATATTCTATATTTTGTTGAACATTTGCAGGGGGAGAATGGAAAAATGTCTGCTAGTGATCCAAATTCTGCCATTTATGTGACCGATTCAGCAAAAGAGATAAAAAATAAGGTTGGGGTTTTTTATGATGTGAACTGTATTATTACACACCTTCTCAGAAAATAATTCCTTCCGAAAAAATATACTTTACACATCTCACATTCATCACCATATAATGAGTTAGCAGTTCTAGATTTGTTAGAACCCCTACATGCTTAGGAAGGATATGCTTTTGTTCTTTTGCTGCTCTCTTATTTTTGGTATCTAACACATTACATAGATTTTTTTTTTATAAAGGTAATAATTTCATTACAATTGGGGAAGCCCCCATATACAAGCTGTATTCCAAAAAGATGAGAACCTACACCGAAATATGATTCTCAATAGAAGAGGCCCTATCCTCTATACAAGTTGGTATCTCATAAGTACACCAAAAAGAAACTATAAACAAAAGACTACTTTGCAATTTTACAAAATCTTGTTCCACCCCTTCAAAAGGCCTCCTATTTCTCTCTTTCCAAATAACCCACATGATTGCTAATGGGGCAAGAATCCAAGCCCTCGGACTTCTCTTTCCCCTCCTATGAGCCCAACTATGCGATGCTTCTTTTACTGTGCCTGACATCACCCATTCCACCCCAAACAAATTAAGGACCACCCTCCATAAACGAGTAGCCACTTGACAGTGCACTAGGAGATTATCTGCATTTTCACCCGAGCTTTTCCATGTGAAACACCAGCTGATATATGTGATCCTCCTCTTTCTCAGATTTTCCGCTGTCAAAATCACTCCCCTTGCCGCCAACCATGCCAAGTAACACACATTTCTCTGTGCTCTAGAGATCCAACAGAGCAATACATTCCTCTCTGCCTAATAACTCTGTTAATAAGATTTAACAATTAATAATCCATCTCTACTCTCTCGCCATCTCCATACACATTAATAACCCATTTTAACATGGGACCTTGTATAAGATGTAGATTCTCTAGAAGATCTCATTGGTTCCTTGTAGCTGTTACAAGATTGTTTTTGCAACTTTTTGGGTCTTGTAACCCTGGTTTTTACTCCTTAGNGGAGAAGTTAAGAAGCTAGGGTGAGATCTTGGATTTAGTCAAGTTACTCTATGGTTCCAATCCTAGATGTTAAGAAGTTTCCCTGTCTATAAATGCGAGCATTTGCTGTTGCTGTGCTTGATAGTGAATTTTGACCTTCAACGCCTTTTAGATGAAGAACCTGCACTATGTTGGAATTTTAGTTTCATTTAGCTGATACCTTGTGAGCAAATTGAAGAGATTTTGGGGCACTCACTATAGCTGTTGGACAGAGTGTGGAATGAGTGTTTTTCTCTGTTATTGTTATCATTGATAATTGTAATTGAATTGCTTCCAACCTACAACAACAACAAACCCAGTGTAATCCCAAAGTGGGGATAAGCTTTCCAACCTATTGAGTAAAAAATGATATTTATGATGGGCACTCTTGAGAAGAACCTTATCATACAATTGATGTTAAAGATACTTCTAAATAGTAGATGACTTTCAACAATAATCGTAATGGAATTACACTGTCTGATTTTGGGCAATTCTCATCAATGGCACAAGTGTGCCTTCACCTTTATACAGTCTGAAGTTGTGGATTTTACTGACTGAATCTTCTGTTTGCAGCCTCATATGATGTTTGAGATTATCCGATCAATATATGGCTTTTCTATTGCGCCTTTTGCTTGTATTACTGGGACAACATTAGCATTTTGCTGGACCATCTTGTTAAATCATCTTTGTTACCTTAGTGTCTTCAATCAATACTTGCAGTACTGAGAAATTTTTTCTGTAATTGCTTTTCCATACTTATCCTTCTCAGACTTCAATGTGTTCTTTTTAAAAGTTCTTGTTTGTGGGGAGGGAAGAGTTGGGGTTTCTTTTTTTTTTTTAGGGGGGGTGGGGTGGGGTGGGGTACTATGCCTAGCGTAGGAGTCAAGTCCACTACAGTAATTTGAGCTAGGTAACACCGGAAACTGAGGCTATTGGAGTTTGCTTCCCCGTTTAGAAGTTCTTATATAGGTTTCCTAGATGGATATTATCCAGACTGATTANCCCCCCCCCCCCCCCCCTCCAGGTTCGTCTACCTTTATAACAATAATTAGCATATTGGCACTTATTTCTCAAAATTAATGCACACAATCGTGGTTGCATCCGTTGGGATTATGGAAAACCCGATGGACTTTTGGGTGAGGCTTGTCTTAAAGGTTATTATGTGGCGACATATTAATCTGGCTAGGTTTGACCATGATGCATGAACAATAGATCACAGTAAGGTTGCTATAGAAGTCTAGAATGGGACCCTCAAGCGGACAACTTGATGGGGAAAGGCACGGAACCGTCGACTACACCGCTAATCGACTAGTTTTACCGCAAATACTCATTTCCGAATTTAAAGGGTGATATATAGGAAGAGCACAAACACTCATTAAGCGTTTCTATAGAATTGATTACGCACGATTGGAATATGATGTTGAGAATGATTTATGCAACAATAAATAGCATGTTGTCAAGTATTTGCACGTTTAAAAATGATAAATGCGGTATTTAAATAATTGAAAGATAGTTATAAAAAGAAAACAAGGAGACAATTCAGTTTCGGGAAATAAAGGAAATCGTAAATGCTTAAGAAATAAGCAATTAAATCCAAATAAAGGGGAAAGGGAAAGGGTGCACATGTGTTAACAGAAATAAGCATGCTTAAGACTAATTTACAAAAACAAATTCGTTATGGTAAGAGCCTAAAATATCCCCAGCAGAGTCGCCATGCTGTCGCGCTCTCTTTTTTCCTCGCGGAGTCCGGGTTTCGAAATTCATTGGGAACACTCATTTCCTTTTTGGGAATTGGGTGTGGAATTTGAAGAGTCGCCACCTAACGGTTTTAAGGTGCGTTAGGGCACCTAAGCAAGTAACTCATAAAACCGGTTTGCATTACCAGAGATTGGGTAAGGGCTAGAAATATCCTTGAGAAGAAGGCGTTAGGCACCCCTCGCAGTCCACAACGGTGGATCCCGGCCGAACTCAAATTATGTGAATTTGTCTTATAAACAGATAAAGCAAATTAGACAAATTGGTGTTACATTTAAAGCAAGGGGTAAAAGGGGTCCTAGGTTCTTTAGCCTACAGGACCACATCTGTACAATACCCGGTAAACCTTTCTCAACTAGAGGGGTTACACGTGGCATTAGCGCACATGTCATCATATCCTTTTACTACCTAATTAACCTCCCCTTAGTGGTTATAGAAGCGATTTTGATTTAAACAAACTCTATGCGTGCATTAATCGTCCCTTCCTTATGGCCCTGGAGGTGTTTAGGACCTCTAATTTAGGCAGTTCTAGACTTTCCTAAGGTACTTAAAGGAGAAAAATCTAGGCGACAAGCAAGAACAAATAGGTCTGTCAAGTAAAGAACAATTAAGGGGGCTCACATTTACCTCCACAAATAAGCAGATAATGGCACGTCTCAAATAGCAGGATTTTAGATATTTCAAAGGATCATATGGCAGAATGTCTAGGTGAGCATGACAAACAGAATATACAGCATTGTGTTAAAGCGAGGCGATAGAGACCTAATCAGTTTGCCTACTGATATTAGGGCTTGCTGAATCTGGACCATTCACAAAAAGCATAATTTTACAATTTGCAGGATTTTAGTCGCCCTACAGGCTTGCCTAGGCGTGTAACAGTGATGTCCTATAAACATGGTATCTAGTCATAAATCAGGAGTGCAGTAAACCAGTAAACAATTCTAAGCAGATAGTTTGGATCGTATAGGCATGTTGTCTAGGTGTAATGACTGATTTTAGATTTATAGATACCGGTAGCAAAAATGCATAAATTGATTTAAGGTCCTATAGGCATGGTATCTAAATGCCGTAATTAGTTTTAAAACCTTATTTTCGTGGAGAAAAATGATCTAAACCTTGTTAATATGCAGAGATTAATTCTTTTTTTAAACTTATAGGCAGGGTGTCTAAATACAAGATTAATTTTAAAAATCCCTATAGGCATGGTATCTGGATGAACAAACATTGAGATAACTATAAGCATGGTATCTAAATATCAGACATTGTAATAACCTATAGGCATGGTATCTAATGCAAGTAAGTAATCCTAAAAACATGCTCTCTAATGCAAGCAAATAGTTATAATAAACCTAAGGACATGATTTCTACCCAATTTACCCACAAAAATTATATAATAATCCCTCCCTTTTTTTTACAAATTTACCCCAATATCTATTTACAAGAAATTATTATTACAGACCAACATTAATAATAAATTACAGAAGTGAAATTGCTACAACTATAGGGAGCCTAAACAGGCCCAAACCATAAACCCGAAAAATCAGGCCTTCAACCAAGTATGAACATGCCAACACTCTCATAGTGTACCCAATGGTATCCCGATGTGTCAAAGTTCCCAAGGACCTCAGGAACCCCGGGTAATGCTTACACCAGAAATACTTTCAAAGCAACCCTTTGTGAGCAAGTTTGGAAAGCCAACTCCAATGTGTCAAAGTTTAGAGGAGCCTCATGGACTCCTAGGCAATGCTCACACTGGAGGGGCAAGACCCTAAAGGTTCTAGGAGTAGGAGTGAGAGATAGTGCTTGAAAGAGTGGAAAATAGTTCTAAGAAACAGTCCAGAAGTAAGATAGTTCATAAGTGAGCATAGTTTAGCAAGGAAAACATTTTAGGAGTGAATATAGTTTTAGAAGTGAAAACATGTTAGAAGTGTGAAACAGTTTGGAGGTGAAGACATATCAGGAGTAAAAACAGTTTAGGAAACATTCTTAACAAAGGTTCAGGAAACCAAAAGCATACAGAACATAGTCACCAAAACCTCAAGGAAAAGACTCACATTCAACTTGGTTTATTAGTTAACCCTAAGTGATCATATGGCATGCTGAGGACAAACAATTTCACAGAGAGGGTATTAGGGGTTGGGAACATAGAATCAGGAGCACATAGAAACATGGTGGTAGGAAAGCATACTAGTTAACAGGTGACACCTAGGTATAACAGCCATACTTAAGGATAGAAATAGTTACACTGAGTTAAAAGCAATAGACAGAAAAGTTGAAACTTAAACACAAAGGTAAGCTTGTTGACAATAAATAGGAAAGATTGATATCTGAACACAGAAGTAAACATGTTGGTCTAAAGCAATGAACAGGAGAGCTTGAAACTTGAACAGAAGGTAAACATGTTGATTAAGGTGATAACAAGAAAGGAACAAAGTTAAACACAGTAATAAGCATGCTGATTAGAATATATGAGAGGCATGGGTTAGACTGAGGTAAAATAACATGTGAGGGAGCACATAAGTTCAAGCTTCATAGTATAATAAACAACATTAGGAATAGAGACATACCAGTTAAAGGAAGCAAATACAGAAGGTAAAGTAGGCAAGATTCAACAGCCTAGCCTTGGCTTTCAGCCGGCTAGACAAGCAAGGAACACAAGTAGCAGAGAGAGATGAGAGAAAGTTTATGTGTGTGTGTTTTTTTGAACAATTGTCCGTTTTCTTAAAGAAGTCAGAATGAGAGTTTATATAGCACTTAGTAAGGTAGGACAAATAAGGTAAAGAATAAATCAGAGTTCATAAAACAGGATAATCAAATAAATCAATCAGTTAATTGGGGACTTAACTCAATCAATTCCGACAGAAGAATCCAGAAAGGACCCCCTTAAATTGGGGAGAATCCCTTAACGATTTAGATTGGGATTCAAATAAGGTAAACAAATCAATCATATACCATATAGGAGTCAATTAAATCCCTAAATCAGACTAATAGTCTAATTAAGGCAAGTAATACTAATTAAAGTCACAACTAAGGAAAATAGGTAAATCACAGAGAAGTACTGATTTTAACGGGAAGAATTGGTTCAAATTCCTGATAGAAATCAATTAAGTAAAAAAGATCCCAAAGAATACTGGTTTTAACAGAATAATTATTCAAGACTAAAAATATAATCAGTCAATACAACTGGTTCACATAAATAAGCACAATAACATAAAAATTTGAAGAAATCAGTGTCACAAACAGGAACATCTAGGGTTTAAACATATACACAAAAATTAATCAAACATGTAATGAAACCATTAGTTTAACACTGAAAGTTTAGAAAAAAAACGTTGAAGAAAGGTCTGGTATGAACCCTAATTTCAGAAAGAGTAAACAAAGTCGAAACAATTAATTAAACCGAGAGATTTTTTAAAGGAAAACACCCAATGATACTCGAATAACTTCAGATTTGAGAAGATTCGAACAGTAGTTAAACTAGGATTTTCATAAATAGTAGAGATGAAGAAAACTCGGTCAGGAACCAAAAAGGATTTGAACTAAAAATAGAAGGACATTAGTACTCACAAACGAGAATGGCCCTAGACAGGCCTGTAAACAAGTTTCAGGCAAGAACAAGTTGGATCTCCATGAGATTTTCTCAAGGATCCATGTAATCAATCAGCTAGGAGGCATAATAGGCTGGTAATGATCGGAAAACTCACGAAAACTCCATAGATAGGAGCTTCTCGCCGATGACAGCGATTAAGGTTAAGGCGAGTTGAGAGAGAGTTGCAGAGGTCAGGGAACGAAGGGCGGTGGAGTGTAACAAATGAATTAGGTTAGGGGGGTCGTTTGGGTTAAAAATGGTAAGAAGGAATAAGGGTCGTTGATCTCAGAGATCAACGACCAGGATGAGAAAGGGTCTGGGTCGAGTAGGATTTTAATTGGGTTAGGGTCGTTTGAATTGGGCTTGGGTTAATTAAATTGGATTGGGGGTCCGATTTTGGGTGTAAATTAGG